AACTCTTTAAACCCAGTCTTATGTTTCAAATGGTGAAAAACAAGCAAAAAAATTACTAATACTTTCCAGGGCAGGTATTGTGGCATAGCAGGTAGACCTGCTGCCTATGATGCCCATATCCCCTATGGGCAATGGTAAGTATCCTGGCTGCTCCACTCCCAATCCAGCTCCCTGCTGATGGCTTGGAAAAAGCAGCAGAAAATGGCCCAAGTGTTAGGGCCACTGCCACCCATGTGGGAGACCCAGAAGAAGCTTCTGGCTCCTGGCTTTGGCTTGGCCCAGTCTTGGCTGTTGTGGCCATCTGAGGAGTGAACCAGTGAACATAAACACTCTCTCTCTTTCTCCCCCTCTCTCTGGAACTCTTTCAAATAAATAAATAAATCTTTAAAAAACAAAACAAAACAGGCCAGCGCTGAGGCTCACTAGGCTAATCCTTCACCTGTGGCGCCGGCACACCGGGTTCTAGTCCCGGTCCGGGTGCCGGATTCTGTCCCGGTTGCCCCTCTTCCAGGCCAGCTCTCTGCTGTGACCCGGGAGTGCAGTGGAGGATGGCCCAGGTCCTTGGGCCCTGCACCCGCATGGGAGACCAGGAGAAGCATCTGGCTCCTGGCTTCGGATCAGCGCGGTGCGCCGGCCACAGTGTGCCAGCCTCAGCAGCCACTGGGGTGTGAACCAACGGAAAGAAAGACCTTTCTCTCTGTCTCTCTCTCTCTCACTATCCATTCTGCCTGTCAAAAACAAACAAACAAACACACAAAAACCTAATAATTTCCTTTATCAGAGATAAGAATAAACTGATAAATTAAAAAGAAATGACTTTGAAGTTTAATTTATTACCAATTCTGGTGCTTCAAGATGACCAAAAGATAAACCCAAACCTGTCAAATAAAACATATTTGTGGGCAAAATTTCCATGGGAAGTAATCCACATTTCTTGATTCCACCTCCTCTCTTTTCAGGCTCCACAGTCAGCCATGTGGCTTCTTCCCTCAGTACCACTGAAACCGCTCTTACCAAGGTCAGAAAACGACTTTCTAAGTGCCGAGTTGAATCATCACCACTTTACTTGTCAAAAATTTATTTTCTTTTTATTTGTAAGGCAAAGAGACAGACAGAGCAATAGAGGCAGATCTTCCACCCACTGAGCTACTCCTCAAATGCAAGGCTGAACCCAGGAAACTGCAACTCAATCTGGATCTCCCGCGAGGCTGACGCCTGCTGTCTCCCATGGTGTGTGTTGGCGGGACTCGAATCCAAGCACTCTGATACAAGATGAGGGCTTCCCAAGCGGCATTTTAACCACTGTGCCAAATGCCTGTCCCACGTACAGTTTTGGGTTTTTTGTTTTGTTTTGTTTTTTTGACAGGCTGAGTGGACAGTGAGAGAGAGAGACAGAGAGAAAGGTCTTCCTTTGCCGTTGGTTCACCATCCAATGGCCGCTGCGGCCGGCGCACTACGCTGATCCGAAGGCAGGAGCCAGGTACTTCTCCTGGTCTCCCATGGGGTGCAGGGCCCAAGCACTTGGGCCATCCTCCACTGCCCTCCCGGGCCACAGCAGAGAGCTGGCCTGGAAGAGGGGCAACTGGGACAGAATCCGGTGCCCCGACCGGGACTAGAACCCGGTGTGCCAGTGCTGCTAGGCGGAGGATTAGCCTAGTGAGCCGCGGCGCCAGCCCTTGTCCCACGTACAGTTTAAAAGCCTTGGCTCAAGTGTCACCCCTGTGAAGTTGTCATTAATGCAACTCAGACAAGACTTGGGTTAGTCAAACCACATTGTACCAGACCTGTCTGTTGCCTTACTGGGCAGAAGCTACTTGGAAGCAGCCTCCCCTTTTCAAAATGCACAGTGCTTGACATGTGATCGTCTGTGCGATTTGAAAAAATCTGAGGATTTGCTAGGTTACCTAGGAAAACCCATTTATCATACTTTTTCTTTGAAGTGCTTATAATAAGAACAAACTAAACACAGGAAAAGCCTGGAATGTTTCCAGGGAAAGTTTTTTTCATAGAATGAAGAAATCTGCCTCAATTTCAAAAGGAAAATTCCAACATGTGGGCACTATTATTTTGCTGATTTGTCTACAACCCTTTAATACCAAAAGATTAAATTTTATGAATTTCCCTGTGAACATCAAACTTCTTGGATAAAAGTAGTAAATTAAAAATCACTGACTTATCAGCGAGAGGGAAATGCCCACTGCCCGCTCTGTTTTAGGGTTACTATGCCTGAAACATTTTGGGGAACAGGTCTCATACCTGTACACCAACCACACAAGAATACTCCCGAGTGGCTCAAGTGTTACTTCCAACAAAACTGCTTTGAGACTCCACCCAGAAAAATCACCTATCCGGAACACCTCCTGCCGTGGTTCCTAAGGCTGTGGGAAACTCTTCCAGGCCCCTTCACTTTACTATTTGGCTGTTGACCCTCCCCCACTCTGGGACTTCCCACTGCTACTCCCTTTCTGCTAAATTTCCCTTCCCCAGGTTCTTCATCTCATTCTTGCCTGGGGTCAGAAACTCAATTAGCAGATTCTGCAGTTGGCAAAGGAAGGAAAGAGAGAAAGGGAGGTAAAAAACCCTCCGCCTGCTAATTTCCAACAGCCCCACCCTTCCCTTCTCCTTATCACTTCCTGTGCCTTCCAGTCTTCCTCACAGCACACCCAGCCCCTAATTTCCTCATTCTTCTTCAGTCACCTCACCCTTCCCACAAACCCTGCTGCCTCAGACCTATAGAACTGCCTCTCTGAGATCCCAGGTGCCCATCCCCACCCTGGTCAAGGCTGCAGGCTCAGCTCCAGCTAGTATCACACAAGAACACAGACAAGGGCCTAGAAAATTCACCCAGGGTTAGTCATGCAGGGGAAGTCAGGACAGTAATGATTAACACAAGTAGGGGTTACACAGGAACCTTTACCACCATTTTCAAAATCATTTGAGAAATACAACCCTATTTAGAATTGGGGACTGTCTACAATGATTTCCTAATACATTATAAACATAGTATTAAAAAAATCTGTAAATGCTAAGCTGTTGGATTTCCTTTTAAACGCTGGTTCACCCCCCCCCCCCCAAGTGGCCACTACAGCACTGCACCAATCCAAAGCCAGGAGCCAGGTGCTTCCTCCTGGTCTCCCACGCAGGTGCAGGCGCCCAAGTACTTGGGCCATCCTCCACTGCTTTTCTGGGCCACAGCAGAGAGCTGGACTGGAAGAGGAGCAGCCAGGACTAGAACCCTGCGCCCATATGGGATGCTGGTGCCGCAGGCAGAGGATTAGCCAAGTGAGCCATGGCACTGGCCCCCAGATCTGTTCCTAATTCTAGCTTCTTGCTAATGCACACCCTGGAAGGCAGCAGGTGATGGTTCAGGCATTTAGATCTTTGTCACACATGTGGAAGACCCAAACTGAGTTACAGGCCTTTGGCTTGGGCCTGGCCCGGCTCTGGATGTCCTATAGTCCTTTGAGGACTGAACTAGTATATGGAAGCTGCAGGAAGCTCGCTCACTTGCTATCTCTCTTTCTCTCTGCCTTTTAAATAAAATAAAACTCTTTTTAAAAAATCTAGAAGAATATCTGAAAATTAAAGGAACTTAAAACAATTTCTTTTGCTTGGTGCAATGACTTGATAACTTTATTCTGTTTACCCAGTAATGCTTCCTTTTTGAGTCCCCACCATGTGCCAGGTATGCTATTTCTTCAAAAGTCACATTTTAATACCTCAGTACTCAAAGGCCTGAAGTCAGTGGGCTACGAATAACAGGAAAATTTCAAAAAGGGGTCTATGTCCTTCCTTGTTAAAAACAAACACTGCAGGTCGGCACCATGGCTCAATATGCTAATCCTCCGCCTGCGGCGTCGGCACACCGGGTTCTAGTCCCAGTCGGGGTGCCGGATTCTGTCCCGGTTGCCCCTCTTCCAGGCCAGCTCTCTGCTGTGGCCCGGGAGGGCAGTGGAGGATGGCCCAAGTGCTTGGGCCCTGCACCCCATGGGAGACCAGGAGAAGCACCTGGCTCCTGCCTTCAGATCAGCATGGTGCGCCAGCAGCGGCGGTCACTGGGGTGTGAACCAACGGCAAAGGAAGACCTTTCTCTCTGTCTCTCTCTCTCTCACTGTCCACTCTGCCTGTAAAAAAAAAAAAAAACAAACAAACAAAAAAAAAAAAAAAAAAAACACTGCAAAACTGCAAATACAATGCAAAGGCTCCCAGTGCCTTCACCACCCACGAGGCAGCTGCAGCGCTGGTTTCATCTGCCTCTCTCCTTCATTCTTCCCTACAGCCAAGGAGTATCTACTGATTCCCTTCTAGGCCCTTTGTTGGGCCTCATGCAGGATAAAAGGATATAAAAAGACCTCTTCAGGAGTTTATAACTGAACACAGAACATCTGACACACCAGAAGAGACCAAGACAAAGACAGTACTGATATTACAGCAAAACTGGGAGGTCAGAACAGGAGTAAAGAATTCCCCCGATGTAACACACAAGCTTCATGAAGCCGTGATTGATGAGCTGGACCATAGGCGATACAGGACAGGTATTCTCAGGTAGGAAGTATATATACAAAAGTGAGGAAGAAGGAGTAGTTACGTGTATTTCCATATCCATCTGTAATCAGCAATTAGCATTCAACAAGTAAAACAAAGCCTCACAGAGTGAGAACTTCTGCAACTTTAGAGGTTCCACCTAACAAGGGCACCATAGGTAAATCCATGGATTATTGCACTACAGATTTCTTATACCTCAATCATTTCTTGTAGTCATCTACACTGTTACTGGATCAAATTCTTTGAATGGGCTAGTGAGTAGTAGTACCAAGCCTACACTACAAATATTCAATCCAACTGCAGGACCAAAGGACACTCCACCTGGGAATCACTGAATATATGTTTTCAGAATCACACCTCAGCAAATATTCCACCCCCCTCTCCATTCCTACCTCACGGGGCTGTTCAAAGTTAATTGTGGTAAAAAAGCACAATGTCTGACACCCAAGTGTTACCTGGAATGCTGCTGTCTGGGTCCAGGTTGCAGCCGGCCATCTGGGGCTTCATAAGGCTCTTCCACTTCATACACATTTGCATCGGCATCCTCCATGCTGCTGGAATTCTGCCATCCCAGTTCTGGAGCTTTCCCTACAGCCATAACAAATGGCAAGTTCTCGTACTCCGGTATTTCCTCATAATGACGTACATTCTCATATTCTGGGGCACAGCCACTGGTAGCAGACTTACAAGGCACCTGAGATAATGACTCCCTAGAGAGCATTTGGTCATCCAAAGACTCAGCTCTTGGACCATTAGCGGCACTGATCTGGCCACGAGACTTCTTTCTCTTCTTTTGACATTCCAGGCTGTAGTTGTCTGCAGAATAGGCCTTGATAGGTTTACTTCTCTTTTCTTCTACCGACAAACCATGCCAATCACTTTCTTTAATTATCCCTTTGCGCTCCCCACCAGAGAGGCTGCCTGCCATGGTATCTCCAAGTTGGCTACTTTTGGACCAAAATTTCTGAAAGTCATTCTTTGTGAAACAGATGGATAGTTTCATGTTCAGCAACTTTTTAAGAGAGTTTTTCTTTGAAGAGTCTTTGCAAGGCTTATTACATCGCTCCATATCCACAGCAGACAAGGATTTTGCTCTAGGCTTGGTGAGAGCAGTCGAAGGCTCACAATTTGGAGGTATAGTGATAGACTTTAGGGACTCCGGGTTCCCTAAAAAGGGTAAAATAGGATGAGGTAATTTCCACACTGGCTTTTCTGAAGTTCGTTTAGGCATATCAAAGGAGGGTGACATGCCATGGTTTGGGGCACACAAATGCTGAAGGTGATTTCTTTCTAGATCCTTCTCTGAATTTTTTTCAGCTGAAGAGTAAGAACTTTTCTCCACAAGCTCCTCAGAGGCAGCCTTTTTAAGCACTCCTGCAGCAGGCAAGCTGTGTCTCTGAGGTTTTTTGGGGACTACTCTTAAAGAACTTCCCTCTTTCATTACAGATTCCTTCTGCATTGGAGGGGCAGACACTCCTAAGTCACAGGCAGTAGGCAAATGTTCATTGCAAGTTAATTTGAGCTGCTTAGGCAGGCTCATTGACACAGCACTACATCTGATAAAACTGGTCCCTCTGTCCCCAGCAGGTGACGTACTAGAACCATCTACTGTCATGCTATCAGAACTTAAATTAGAGTTCGTGTCTAACACAGGTGCCAGTTTTTCAGAGGACGGCGTTTCATGATGCATGTCTTTATGTGAATTAACTAAGTCCTGTCTGTCATTATTGAAGCTCCTATTCAACTCACTTTCATTTCCCGGTTTTATTTTATCCACTTGTTCCTGGTTACACACAACATCCTGATGAAGCACGCTGCTTTGATCATTTTTCAAGCTATCTTCAGTAAAACAAGCACAGCTACCATCTGCAGTCTCTGGTTCTTCAGTACTCTCACTCGGAGTATCTACATACTTTTGGCGTAACAGACGAGCAGTGCGTGTCTTTCTGGGCTTCGGAGTTGGAAATTTGGGGGTACATGGCACTAAGTGAATTTCTAAGGGACCAAAGTCACTGACTTCTGATTTCTTACTAAGTCCATCTGAAGATGTAAAAATACTTTTACCATCTTCCAGTGCTTCTAGTTCGGATGAATGAAAGTAGCTATTACTTTTCTCACTGCCTTGCTGACAAGATTCAATGGTTTGAAGTTCACCCCTTGGGAGCTGTTGATAGCAGTTGTAATGATCTGAAATTTTTTCAAGGCTGGACTGGGGAGGTGACAAATCTGCAAATTCAATTTCGAGTTGTCTGCCAGAATGACAGCCCCCATTCATTTCTGGGTTGCCTCTGGATCTGTGCTGCCGTGGGGAACTAAAAGGCGACGCTCCTTGTGTTAAAACGTCTCTGAGCTTCTCGTCCAGGATGCTTGCCTTTAAAACCACTCCACTCTGGCTTTTGATCTTTTCACTGTGAGAATCACATTTACCCCAGGTTTTTATGGCCAAAGAGGATTCAGCGATTTTATTATTTTCTAAACTGCCAGTCATTTCCATGGGCTCTAACACAAGCTCTTCTAGACACATATTCTCTCCAGTCCCAAGCTTATGGTTACACTCAGAACTGCAGGAACACACTGGTAAAATACAATCACTGCTCTGACGCTCTCCTTTTTTGCCATTAAAGTTGTCAGTGCTTCCGGGTAATTCTTGTTTACGCTCTTCCAGGCTCACAGTGATTTTCTTTGATGGTAACTTCCCAATGTCTCTAACAGGCGAGCTCTTTAGAACCTTGGGTTTGGGGGCTATTGCTGGTTTGGTTTTCTTTGTTGACTGTGGGACACTAGAAACCACAATGTCAGGTTTAGGTGCAATAGGAGGTGGAGCTGGCTTATTATTTGCCACCACAAACTTTGGCTTGGGGGCCACTGGTGGCTTCTTAATCTCTAAAAAGACAAAAACAATAATGACAAAATAACCAAAGCACAAATGATACATGATTAAATCTGGTAACATTTTTACTTTAAACATTATAGACTTCATTTTACTAGGTAGGCTATATTACATTCAATTCTATATTATTCTTAAAAATTCCTTAAATTGTCCTTAAATTCCAGTATACAACACTCTGGGTATACTATACATTTCTTAAGAACTCCAATATAGTTTTTCTCCAATTTTGGAATAGTTTATCATGTTGTGAGTTGATAGTAAATGGAATAATTGACTCTTCTTGCAACCACTAGCATTGCTCTTCAGTTCATCTCTTAAGTGCTAAGAGTTGAATTTGTCTCAGTTGAATGTAGGCTGAAATTCTATTAAGCTTCTCATATGTATAAGCAGTACCACAATGATACAAGGGGCTTCAAAAAGTTCATGGAAGATACATATGAAAAAATCATGCTTAGATTTCAAAAATCTTTTGCAACAGAATAGACTGATCTTTTAATTCCATTCTCCATGAACTTTTTGAAGCCCCTCATATATTGCAGAGTTCTACACGTGCCTTTTATCAATGATCTGTCTACCTCAATAAAGAGAACCCCAAAACAATCTTTAAAAGGAATACAGAACTCAAAGTTTTCCAAGCTTAAAAACTGAAAATTAATTCTTGAGTATTATTTGAAGCTCACAATAAAGTTCATTAAGAACTTCACAGGAATTTTCAATCTATTTCTTTAGGGAGCTTTATTTCTTAAAAGGTCACTCATTTAGGCCCTACCACAGACCTAATCAATCTGAGTACTGGGAATACATTTTAAGCTCCATAGGTGATTATTTTGTTTATTCTTCATTAATAACCACTGTTCTGGTGCATTTAAAAAGATGACCACAATCTCTAGTGTACCAATTCTTCTTCAACATTGTATGTATTTAATTAACATCTATCTGAAGCATTTAATTAATAGGTATTATATGCTAGTTTTGTACAAACCTGCTCCTAGCCTAAAGGACTTAATGAAAGCGTTACAGAAAAGGCCTATTAAAATTAAAGATGTATGCAGCTTCTATACCTATTTCTTTTTAAGTTCTGCCTACACCATCACTTCTCAACAATATTTTCCCAAGGAAACCTGAGGTCAAAATGTTTGATCTTATACTTTTTACACACTTGTTTGTTCCTTCAACAGGCTCTTATACGTAATAAAAACTTAACTAAAAAAATGTTTTCAAAAGATCTGTTGCTGGACATTGTTTAATTATTTGAATCCACAAGGCTTTGATATTTCATTTAATGAAGATTTTCTTTTCAACAAGGGAAATTAGTCACAACACTTGGGGAACATATTACATGGAACTGAGTAAAAGGGGGGGGGGGGAAGGAGTGCTCTATTTCCCTTTACCAACCAAAGAATTTCCCAAGCCCTTTAATACTTGTACAATGTATGCAATCATGATTATGATAACAAATCCATTCTCGGTAAATTCCTAGGTATGTTATCATACATAAAGAGGATAATGAATTATTTTCAAAATAAATTAGTACAAATTTCTCAGGCAATACAAGTTCAGTCAGCTGTTCAATAAGCATGTTACTAGTTTTGCTTGAATTCTTTTCAGGCAGAAAATAATTCCAAGACGCTCCGAAGCCTAGTGACAAAGCTTCCTTATGATGGTCTAGTAAGTGAAACTCTAGATCGATCAAGTCTGAAGAGAAAATATGAATACTCATGGCCTCTTCCCAACTTCCCATCTTACTCAATAAAAACTAACAGACTGTCATGCTGATTTCCTTTCTGTCGGTCTCAAAATATCCTACCTCTGGGATTTTTAAGAGAATTTTTTTAAAAGGTCAAAGAAGAAAAGAGTTCTGAAGATGGGTTCACAATAACGTGAATGTAGTTAACACTTCTGAACTACACATTTACACTGGTTAAGATGATAAATTTATGCTATATATGTATATTACCAGAAATTTTAAATATTTGAAGCAAAACTAAAAAACTCTAGTAATTAATCTTTTATTTTTGAATCTTAAGAGTCTGTCAGAAGCTTCAGGGTCAATTAACCAATCCACTTTTGCTATTTTTTTTTAATCCACGGTACCAATTTTACTTTTGTCTTTAAATGCATATTGTGTATGAGTCACTTCCAAGAGACATGTACTTCCATTTTCTCTTACTCTTATAGAAATTAAATTACATATGAGTTAGGGTCAATCCCAATAAATCCAGCACATCATTAGGTAACTAAAATCCTCAATGCTTACTCCCTGAATTAACTGTAAATTTGGGCTTATCACTGTTAGTTAATTGTGTATTGGAAAAAAGCCAGTAACATAACTCAGGAGCCAGCTAACCTAACTGTGCGGTGCTGTGCAGATCTGGCTCCACTAATTTCCTTACTTACACATGGGGGAGTTGAAAAGATTGCTAAAGCCCAGATGAACATGAGATTACAACTTGTGAGATAAATGCTTCTGGAGAACCAGGTGTGGTAGCCTTTTTGTCCTGTGTTAATTTTCCTTCACCATGGTCTGGTTCAGCACTGGAAAGCAAGTTCCAGGAGGGTAGGTACTTTGCCTCATTCACTGCCATTATCCCAGGGCAGCAAAAAGCTGGGAATAGTCAGAGCTGTGACAGACACACACTCTCACATGAGTCAGTAACAGGAGATTTCTTTTAAAAAAATTCAATATCCACTTTCACATAGAATAATATTTTGAAAAGTTAGAAAGAACCACTTCAATAGGATTACTGAGTAATTCCTTAATGATGAATAGGAACAAGTGTTCAACTAAGTCATTGGTAAAGCAATATCCCAAATCCTTCATTATTAGTATTTTTTCAACGGCTCTACTTTGAAACAAACGCAACTGAAAAGATAATAAGCCATTATATTGTGGTCTGTTCCAACGCCAGACCTGAAATAAGTGAACAATGTTTGGAAATGTGTCCAGCACCTTTGGATCTTAATACTGTATCAACAGTCAGAGCCAAAGCTTCTTAGAGCAAAGCAGCAGATCTTTTATTTACACAGCTGTTTGGCTCCAGGGAAATATAAGGTAAGAAAGTAAACCACTAGTACCATTTTACTAACTATTACAAACATCCTGGTCATCTGTTACACACAGATGGCTGTGGTTCACGTGTACTCTGTCTTGGCTATTGGACCAGCCAAAAAGCAAAGCACAGATAGGAATGAGCTATGTTCAAAAAGATACAAAATACACACCTACAATTATCTCTCCAATTTCATATATTGCTTAGAATAATCCAAAAATCCCTACAAAGGGCCTGCTAATATAAGCTCCTGCTCACAATACTTTGACTAAATGTTCAACATGATTATTTTCTTAATCAGCCATCCTAAATAGCACAGATTAGTCTCACAACAAAGATTCCCTCTCCTAACTACAAATACCTTCCCTAAAAGTTTTCATGAATTTCAGTACTATTCCCCCAGAGCATCATAATCAGTCTCTAAGAATGAAATATACATAATTCTACAAGAACAGAGTGGAAATAAAACCCAGTTCTTCTCCATATTCCCCATCTAGACACAAAAAAAGAATTTTAATAAATCTTAACAGTTGAGTGAGCAAAAAAGTAGCTAATGCTTCTCAGGGAGCCATACTAAACACCAACTAACTCAGCTAGACACAGGAAATGCCCCTCTCTTAAATACCACAAAAATGTTTGTGGATTTCTTTAATTGTAAAGTTGATAAATAAAAATAGCTTGTATTATTCCAGGATAATTTGAATGAACGAGTCACAGATTGCAAGACAGGGCCTTAGAAATGAGTTTTAATTAGATTAATGCCAAAGTAAGTGCTCTATACCTGTTCATTATAAAGTATGAACTGAAACTGAAAACTGGTTTAGCTAAGACACAACAATTTTAAATGCATTTGACACCCCCCAGAGAGGGGTGGGTCTACAAGTGGCTAGCAGGATTTAAAAATCTCTGGCCACTTCTCATTTAAACTAATTATACTGGCTCAGTAATAATGAAAACTGAACAAAGGTGAGGCACAGAAATTTGGGATGAAAATAATTCATTATGTAAGCAGAAAGGCCCTCCCCCACCTTAAGGAAAAGACAGCTTACAAAGAACTGCAATAGCTACGATAGTGAATCTCACAGACATGCACAGAACATCAAAAAGGAAAGACCCAATGTCTTCTACAGCAGTACTGCATTCCTTGCTTCCTTAGTCCTATTGGCTAACTTCTTGCCTTGTTCATTGTAACCTGATTACCCCTGGAAACATACCTAGGGTTTAGAAATAATACAAATCAGAACATTCAGAGTGCTGTTTGACAGTTTCAAGTTGCAGGAATTTTAAACAAATGCCAAGGAAAGCAATGAAAATTTAATCTGATACGTAACTGCCGATTCTAGAAGAAACGAGGAGGGGGAGGCTTAAAGTATTTTACTGTAAATATTCTAACGAACGTTTAAGCGGACAAAAACGTTGTTTAAAAAGCACCTAATTACTGTTAAGGTCTGGCTTTAAAAGCAACCGATGTTCTTATAAACGGGACGGAACGTTAGCAAGGGTCTGGGAAAATCAAAACGGTTCCTTGAAAAGAGTTCACAAAGTCCAGAACTGCTCAAAACCCACACCTAAGTAAATAACAGGCTTTGTCATTAGGATGAGCGGAAAGGCGCATGGGGGGGGGGGCAGACAGAAAATCAGGCTTTGTTTACACCAACCAAGCATTCGCACACGTAAAAATCGGTGATGAGCGAAACAAACAAGCAAGCAAGCCACGGGCAAACCCACTCTTCAGTTTTTTGCAAGAAAATCGCCAGGAAAAAAACCCGAGTAACAATGTCTACACCTCCTTCTCCGCTGACGGGAAGGGCTCCCAGTCCACACTAGTTTTAAAGCGACTCCGTCTCGCCGCCGAGTTCCACACGCCGGGCGCCCTGCCCCTTCCTAGAATAACTTGATTTCTGCACTCGGGAAGCCCCAGACGCTTCTCACCCGCAAAGGCAGCGCCGCGTCCACTGCGGGGGACAGTGGCGATGACCCGTCCACACCTGGCGTTTCACCTGGCGCCGAGCCGCCCGCACAGGTCTCCCACGGACCCCGCAGCCCCCCGGCCAGGAGCGGACGCGCGCACCCGGCAGCGCACCGCACTTGCTGAGGGGGCCCTCGGCGCAGCCTCCCGAGCCCACAAAGTTGCTCCCGAGCCCCAGCCCGGCAGCGCGAGAAGCGCCGTCACTTACCGGCGGCAGAAGTCATGACTGCCCGGCGCAGTTCGCTTCTCCGCTCGCGCCCCTCAATCCATGGTCCCCTTTCAGTCCATTGTCTCCAGAGTTTGGAGAGCAGCGAAAAACCCCCGAAGCGCCCACATTCCGTCCCGCGGCCCCGCCGCAGCGCAGCCCGGGCGCCGCACAAAGGATGCGGCCGGCTCCAGCGACCCCGCGGCGCTCCCCGGGCGCGAGGCGCCCGGCGTGGGTTGGCAGCCGGTCGAACAAGAACTAGCACGGGCCGGCCGAGCTGCGGGCAGACGGCCAGGCGCGGGCACGAGCAGGACTCACCGCGGCTCTGCCGGCGCGTGCCCGTCAGGCGCTCGCAAAAAAAAAAAAAAAAAAAAAAAAAAAAATCGGTGCTCCAGGCGCCCCCTGCTAGACGCGGCCGTAAAAGGCAGACAAAAGCCGCAGCGTCCTCCAATCGTAGAGCGCGAATTTCCTGTCGCTCCCGCCCTTCCCGCCCACAGGCTCACGCTCTGCTCCAATAAGCGGGCCCGAAGAGCGGGGTGGGAGGGGCATGGCCCGCGAAGCATGCTGGGAAGTGTAGTTGTCTGGACCCACGCGACGGGCTGAGGCCGCAGCCTCGGTGCTGCCCGTTCTCCCGCCTTCATTTCCCATCGTGCTGAGGCGGGTGGCATGGCGGAGAAGGATGACACCGGAGTTTGACGAAGAGGTGGTTTTTGAGGTAAGGGGAAAATGGCGGTGGGTGTGTACTGCCTTTGTTTCAGAAGAACGAAAGGGGAAGCGCAGAGGCCAGGCGCTCCCGGGACCTGCGAGCAGATGACTGGTACCTGCCTGCCTCAGCAGCCGAATCGCGGCGATTTCCGGGCCTAGCGCTGGCCGCAGCCTGACAGGTGTAGCGGGAGGCGCCCTGTCCGCGGCGACGTCTGTCTGCAGCCCGCCCAGAATTCCAGGCTGGAGCCTGGCTGCCAGTTCCACGAGCGGGAGTCCTGCCCGTTCCTTCGCCAGGGTGGACACGCCGCTGGGGAGGTGCGCCTGCCTGGGGCGGGGCCGCACTGTGCGATTTAGAGGTTCACTGGTACCACTTAGCCTTCCCCTTTCGGTCCTCAGCGTTGGGGGTCAGCATCCACCGTGCCTGAAGTCACCGTTCCCCGTCCAGGCGTGGCCCGCGGAATGAAGGCAGCAGGTGCCAGTGTTTTGACACGATTTAAAGACCGTGTGTGTAGGACCTGCTGTGGGTGGGTGGTTCGTGCTGGGGCGCCTCAGCATCTATGTTGCATTCTTTTGTCCTTTGCTAGATGTAGCCAGTTCTGATGAATCAAAGCTCTGAATTTGAATGCTTTTGTGTAAGACCTTCTCTGCCATTTTGAATGAAAAAAAAAAGTCAAGGGAGTGTTTCTGATACCATTTTTCTGTCAGATCCACATCAAAACTCACACTCATAAATGTTCTATGTATATAGTATGTATTTTTATTTAGTTTTAGTCATCCCTCGGGGTTTCAAGACATTTTTAAAAAATGGCATATGACCTACAGCAGGAGAATCATTCACTAACCATATGAATTGTTAAATGCAGAAATATGTACAACTGCCATTGGAGGGTGAATTTGGACGCAGTTGTCTGTTCTTGAAGCCTCCAAGAGGCTACGCCCAGTAAATGATATCCAAGGTGAATCTCGAACTATGAATCGAATTAGAAGGGCAGAAGAGAGAGCATGTATTACAGGAAGACAGTTGAATATGCGGAAGCTGGAAGGTGTGGAAGTACCCGGTGTGCGTTTTTAGCAGCTGGAGTGTGTGTGTATGTGTGTGGGGGGTGCATCCATATTATATGAAGTGGTCTGAAATAGCCACATTGTAGAAGTAGTGGAAAATGTAGACACTTTACTGAATTAAAGTTTAGATTTGAGGAGTTCCCTTGGCAAGACAAGTACCTGAATTTTGGAACCGAGAAGACAAATGATGGAACGATAACTTGGGCAGATATTTCTAGGGCAAAATCGAGGAAATGGTTACAGGTTGAATGTGAAAGTTCAAGGAGAGACAGATTTGAAAGAAGACTATGTAGGTTGCTTAGATTTATAGAATAAGGGAAACTAGGTGTTTTTTTAAAACCCTATTTTCTTGGATTTCTGACAATAATCATAATAAATTCTTAAACAACATTTTATTGTAGAAAATAGACCAAAATGAAAATCGTCTGTTAGGTTTGTGTGAGTGTATTTCACATAAAAGTCCAGAGAGAATTTTCTTCACTTAAATGTATTTTTACTTAAATTTGTCATGAGTCATTTCCTATTCATCATTCTTTTAAAATATTAGTAATAATACTTATCACAAGTATGTGTAATGATATAACCATTTCCCTATTACTGGACAGATTGTTTCAAAATACCATTGTAATCAACCCTGGCTTAAATCTGTTTGGAACTGCAAGTTTTTCTTGAGAGTAATTTCTAGAAAAAGAACTAGTAGGTCAAAAGATCTGAACATTTTTTGAGTCATGCAGAAAAGTCATGCCATTTCATCTTTCCATAAGGAATAAGATGTTCACTTAACCAAATACTCATTAACAGCTTTATTACTTTTGTTTTATCTTTGCTAACTTGATAGGCACAAATGACATGCCACTGTTCTGATTTACATTTTTGTGCATTTATACATTTATTAGCCATATGTATTTCTTTGCTTGAGCAATTCTTTTCATATAGTTTGCTCATTTGCTTGTTCAAAGCTAGCTTTAAAAATTGATTTACATGGATTCTTCATATGTCACTGAGCCTTTATCATACATATCTAAAGTTTTTTCCCATTTGCTGTTTATTTGCTGTTTGTCCTACAAATTATTTTTTTGCAGCATTTTATTTTATTGATGTATTTTCACATGAGTATTTCACATCAGATCAAGAAACAGACCCTCACCAGCCAGCCAGGGCCCTCTGTTGCTCCTTTTTCAGTTTTATAACTTAGATCAATCTTCTCTATTTTTATTGTTTTATATGTTGTGCCACTTTACTAATACGCTGTTTTGTGTCTGGTGGGTTTTTTCTTTTTTGCTCTTTGATTTTATTTATGATATCCATTCATCCATATTGTTACATGAACATTTTTATTTTTGCATACTATCCCATGGGAACCTATGATTTTTTTAAAGGCCATTCCTTTGTTGAAGGTCATTAGGTAGTTTTCAGTTTAAAAAAAAATTTTTTTTTTTGACAGGCAGAGTGGACAGTGAGAGAGAGAGAGAGAAAGGTCTTCCTTTGCCGTTGGTTCACCCTCCAATGGCCGCAGCGGCTAGTGCGCTGCAGCCGGCGCACCGCGCTGATCCGATGGCAGGAGCCAGGTGCTTCTCCTGGTCTCCCATGGGGTGCAGGGCCCAAGCACTTGGGCCATCCTCCACTGCACTCCCGGGCCACAGCAGAGAGCTGGCCTGGAAGAGGGGCAACTGGGACAGAATCCGGCACCCCGACCGGGACTAGAACCCGGTGTGCCGGCGCCGCAAGGCGGAGGATTAGCCTAGTGAGCCGCGGTGCCGGCCCAGTTTTAAATTATTATGGGTAGTGCTACTGTGAACCTATTTCTATGTGTTGTCAAATATATCTCTGTTGGGTATCTGCTTAGGACTACAATTGCTTAGTCATAGGAAACACCTACATTCACCTTCTGTGTGTGTATATATACATATATGTATATATAAAATAATGTCAAGCATTATTACAAAGTGATTTATCAGTTTATACACCTGCTAGCCATGTATGAAAGGTCCCTTTGTTTCACATCCTCACCACCACTAATTCCAGTCTTTTTATCATTCTGGTAGCTGTTTTCTGGTATATCCTTGTGATTTTAATTTGTATTTCCCTGATTAGAAGCTAAGACTCTTGATGTGTTTATTGGCCAATTATATATAGACTTCTGTGAAGCCACTTTGAATTTCTTGAATATTTTTTCTATGGAGTTGTTTGATTTTCTTACTGAGTTGAAAGAATTCTTTGCATGCACTGAATTCAAATCATTTGGTGCTTCTATGTACCTCAAATGTCTTATCGTAGATTATATACAGCTTCTGCACCCTCTTAATATCTTAATAGTATCTTTATAATCCTTATTTTTGTTTGTTTGAAAGTCACAGACAGGGAGACATAGACAGACAGATAAACACAGAGAGAGAAAGATATCTTCCATCAGCTGCTTCACTCCCCAAATGCCTGCAACAGTTAGGACTGGGGAAAGCTGAAGCCTGGAGCCAGGAACTAAATATGGGTCTCCTATTGGAGGATAGGCCCAAGTACTTGAGCCATCACCTGCTGCCTCCCAGGGTATACATTAGCAGGAAGCTGGAATCTGAAATGGAGCCAGGACTATAACCCAGGCACCCCATAATGAAATTCTGGTGTTCTAGGAGGTGTCTTTTTTTTCCCCCCAGACATTGATTTATTTATTTTAAAGTCAGAGCCACAGGGAGAAGGGAGGGAGGGAGGGAGGGAGGGAGGGAGAGAGAGAGAGAGAGAGAGAGAGAGAGAATTTTCCATCTGCTAGTTCATTTCCTAGGTGGCTGCAATGTCCAGGGCTAGGCCAGGCCAAAGCCAGGAACTGGGACCCAGGAGATTCCTCTGGGCCTCCCACATGACTAGAAGGGACCACTTGGGCCATCCTCTGCTGCTTTTCCCAGGTCATTAGCAGGTAGCTGGATCAGAAATCTCTGCTGCTTTTCCCAGGTCATTAGCAGGTAGCTGGATCAGAAATGGAGGAGCCAGGACATGAAACAGTGCCCAAATAGGATGCTGGTGCAGGCGACCCCACCTACTACACCACAAGTGGCTTCTTCCAAGAGGTGTCTTAAAGGCCGAACCAAATGCCTGCCTCTTAATAGAATCTTTCAATTAACAGAACCTCTTAACTTTATTTTTTTTTTTTTAAGATTTATTTATTTATTTGAAAGGCAGAGTTACAGAGCAGCAGAGAGAGAGAGAGAACTCTTCCATACCCTGATTAACTCTTCAGTTGGCCTCAATGGCTGGAGCTGTACCAATCCGAAGCCAGGAACTTTATCCAATTCTCCCACATGGGTGGCAGGGGCCCAAGGGCTTGAGCCATCTTCTGTTGCTTTCCAAGGCCATAGCAGAAAGCTGGATCGGAAGAGGAGCAGCCAGGACTGCAGCTGTTGCCCAAATGGGATTGCAAGTGGTTGCTTTACCCGCTATACAACAACGTTGGCCCCTCTAAACTTTATTCTAATCCAG